ATATATATATATACACACTAAAATAAACTACTACTTACTACTTGAACTACTATTCCTACTTTGCGTTTTTTCACTTATCACAGGGCTTCAGGGTACGACTCCCCCGCAATAAATGATGGACTACTGTATAAATAATATAGAAGCTATACAACTAATATTTTTACAAGCATTCTTATTTCTTTTCAACTACTTTTGGGGAATAATCCATTTTTCAAGATGAACAACCTACACTGTGTTTTCATATGTTCATCCCCTTTATCGCTCCGATTTTATCTTTAATTTCTGCTGTTTTTCAAGTGGATTTAAGATGACACTTAATAAAAAGAAATGGTGATAGTTTGAAGTTCTTGTTGATCAGAGTTCATTAAGTCTCTCAGTGCATGAAACATGATTTCAATGAGCGCACAAGGTTAAAACAAACTTGACTTTGCGTGTCACTGCAGGCGATTGAAGCTAACCTGGTACAGAAATCACCTGGAGGCCTCACCTACATGGCTGAGTGGAGGGGAGGGATCCTGGACCACAAGATGGGCCACCTGGCCTGCTTTTCTGGGGGCATGATTGGGATCGGGGCTGACGATGGAGCACCAGAGAAGCGGCAGCACTACCTGGACCTTGCTGCTGAGATCACACACACCTGCCATGAGAGCTACGCTCGCTCAAGTGAGTAAACTTCTTACTCAAACAGTGGTATGAAGACCGTGCTACTGCCCTGCTTTAAAAAATAATAATTTATATCATTCAGTTAGTCCCCTTGATCTTAAAGGTAAAGTTATAGGTATTTTTTTGTTTGAATATATTTAATACCTGTTTAAATATACACATATATTCAGATTAGTGTAGTCAAGGTGTTAATTTGCTTGTTTCAGATTTGCAATCTTAAAAAAAAAATGTTAGATGTAAAGATTTATAGAGCTTGTGCTTTATTTCATACTTTACTGAACAGGGGCCTGCCAGGTCATGGAAACTAATTGGCTACATTCTGTCTACATGTCTGCATCCCAGTGGGCATTATGTACTGTATCTACTCACAAAATGCAAAATGCATTCATGCATACAACCTGTGTAGAAGATGAGAAAACGCTCTTATTAAAAATAGTTCGTAACCAGCCTCCAAAGCATCTGCAGCATCCCTACCATGATTCAGCTCTGCACTGCTCCCACCGCAGCTGCAAATGTTTAGCCAAAGCAGCTTCGACTGAGTATAAATTAATTGTATCTAAACTATAAATTTTATAATACACAAGAAAACTGTACCTGCTGTGTTGTTAGGAGAGATTGTGATGATATTTAGATTGAAAAAAAAAATAGTCTAGATGAGCAACAGAGAAAATTAAAAAGGCCTCGGGCTTAATTTGTCCTTTAGCCAAAAGAAGAAGCTTTTAGGTTGATTCACGTCAACAGAAAGGTCTAATAAGGAACAAGTTATTTTCTAATGTCTCACAGCTTTGGGCAGCAATTGTGGAGCATCCAACTGTGCCTGAAAATTATATTCAGAGCTTCTTATTACTTACTGGGAAGGAAGAAAGTGAGGAGGAAGAGAAAAGGGGAAGGGTAAACATCATTGTAAAATCGTGGCTCTAACATGTAAATGAGACTGTTAATGCACCCAGATGCTAAAAATGAACCCAGGAGATAAAAGAAATGGGGGAAACACAGAAAGAAGCCTGCCTACATGTTCTGAGGAGGCTATTGTTTGATTTCTTCTTTGGCATCTGTCCTGGCCCTGACAATAATCTTCTTTGCCACTCTGTTGGGTAAGGATTCATCCTCCACTCCTTCTCTCCTTTTATTTCAGCAGTAAGCTAATGTGACTCATCTCATAACGGTTTCCCTGATACGCTTTGAGTACTTTTGATCTGTAGGCCTAAAAGGCTTCTCCAGTTTTCTTTTTCATCGTCTTCCACCAGGTTCTCTTTGGGGGTTTGTGTGACGCTCAGCAGCTCTTGGATTAGCTGGCTGTATGTAAAGTAGCTTCCATTTATCTGTTTTAAACACTGATACTTTAATGGCTTTACTGCTACCATCGTCTTCACAACTATAGTCAGGTGAACAAGCAGCAGGAAGAACAAAATAGGTTTAGGTTTATTGTCAAATGCAGATCAACACAAGGTCAACAATGCAGTGGAATGATCAGGACGAGAAGAACCGTCTCAACTCTCAACAAAAACAACAAGAAATACCAACGCATGCAACAAACATACAAAAACAAGGCTCCAAGAATGATAAAGAAATGCATCTACAGCAGCATGGACCTATTAGCAGTGTGGTTCTGTTAGCAGCAGGATGGTAATACTGACCGCAGCAACGGACGACGACTGCCCTCCAGAAATGGGTCCGGCAGACACTGAACATCAAAGGTTTCCCCGCGGAATCGAACTGTTTCGTAGAGTTTGGTCCATTCAGGCAGATGGAGGTTCATGGAGATGACCGCCATGACAGGCCGGAGCCTGAGCCCGAGGCTGGAAAGGGTTCGGGAACTGAACCACGATGGCAAGGCAGCAACACACAAAAATCCAAAAGTGTGTTGCAGTTACACTCATAGTGTGGGTGTGCAGTGTAGGTACAAAAAAAAAGTTAAAACATAAACAACAGGGACAAAAAAGATCAAGTCGAAGCAGCATTCCCGCCCTACTGTGGCGCACGTGATGTCATGTTTTGTGACGTCACGTATAATAGTGCCATAACATGAACTAGAATTCAGGGGCTGCTGTTGCCCGGTGGTCAGTGCCATGGTCCTGTTATCATGAGGCTGCAGGTTCGAGCCCAAATTGCGTCTGGAAGGACATCTGACATAAAACAATTTCCAAATCTTTTATGCAAGTTTGCACTCTGTGGCTACCCCTGCATGAAGGAGCAGCCCAACGAAAATCTGTGAACATTTACTCATTGGTAATGAGCTGCTGCAAATCAGAGTTTCATGGAGAATCTTTTTCTTACGTTTTAACCCAGTAATAATTGGCCTCTTTTCAATGAAACAGTGCACATTACATTTATAAAGTGATATCCTGGTGCGCTGTAAAAAAAAAAAGCTTATTACGAATATGCATATGCTTGATTTTCTGATATTTGCAGAAACAAACAAAAGTAAAATGAAGTGTTAACCTGTTGATCTTTACTAAAAGGTTGTAGCAAAGCAGAGGAGCTCTAATTTCCACTTGTTTCTAGCCTCAACTTGGGAATCGTTACTGCAGACAAATGATCTCAGGCTTGAACAAAGTTGGTAAATCAGAAAACAAAATCAATAACGCTTAAAAAAATCAGTCAATAAAAGAAGAGGACTCAGATACTAACAAGTTAAACTAACAGGGTGGTTGAGATCTTTTTTCATTCAACCTTAATTATAGTCTCATTGAGTCACAAAGACTCATTTACAAGAGAGACCTGTATCTACTGGTATCTGTATCTGAATCTACACAAGTTACGGGATGAAAATCTGTAGCATCAACATTTCTTAACACCGTTATAGCTGCACAAACTCACTGTCCTGAAACTACTGTTGAAATATTATCTTGTCTTTTATGGGCGGGGGCTCAGCGTATCATCCAACAGGTTGTTTTCCCATCACTACCTGTTTAAACAGCGACTAATAAATAATATCCTGTGAGTTTGCCACGAATTGTCAACCATTAAGTGCTTTGATGTTTCCATTTGTGCTGTGCTGTAATCAGCCAGTAGAAAGAAGCCCTGCTGCCTGCAAGACCAACTTCTTTTCATCTTTTTAAGCAGCTTTTCCAATTTATTTTAGAATTTCAACCAGGGTGCATGGACCTTTGGAGTACAAGATACGGGTTGCATCGAAACCCATTTTAAAATAATTAATCTCTAAATATCATAAGCATCGTAGCATTTAGGAGGGGAGTGGTGGCGCAGAGGTTAGAGAATGTGGGCCTGTGATTGGAAGGTTGCCGATTCAACTCTCTGGATCGACGACATCAAAATGTGGGTGGGAAAGGTGAAACATCCACACCTGCTTCCACCATCATTTGCCCCACTCTGAGCCCTTGAGCAAGACCCTTAACCCCCAACATCTGCTCCCCGGTCACCCTAGATGACAGCTCTCTGCTCCACTTAGAGGATTGTGGTAGTTCGGTGATCTGTGGTTGCGTCAGGAAGGACATCCGGCGTGAAAACAATTGCCAAGTCCATGCGAGTTAGTTCACTGTGGCGACCCCTGAAGAAGGGAGCAGCCGAAAGAAGAAAATAAATTAATATCTTCACATTTAGGAATGTTCTTAAAATGTAAAATGCAAAATACGTAAAGAACTCCAACAGACACGGACTCAAAGATTACTAAAAACAATCTTGTTCAATCGATGATTTGGTTTTCAACTGAAATCGAATTGATGTTTTTAAAAATTGTTTAAAATAGTTTTCTTTTTCCTAAAAAACAAAAATAATCATTGGATTTGTCTGTATTTTCATCAGCCACTAAGCTCGGCCCCGAAGCCTTCAGGTTTGACAGCGGAGCCGAAGCTACAGCGACCAGACTGAGCGACAGATATTACATCCTGCGACCAGAAGTCATCGAGAGCTACATGTACATGTGGAGACTGACCCACGACCCAAAGTACAGAGACTGGGGGTGGGAGGCTGTCGAGGTGAGATCATAATTTAGTACCAGTACTCAGGTTACATAAGATGAGAGCCTTGGAAGGTTATATAAGCTTCTGTACAAAATTAATGTGGCCTAAATGAATGCATTTTAAATTTTAAAGGATTTTAGGCAAAAAAAAAGATTTTCTTCCTTTGGCAAATAAGATGAGACCTTCTGATTATAACTTGCTATGCACAATTTTTTTTCAGCTCCCATTTAGTTTTTATCAGCTTGAAAGTAAAACCTTCAAATGACCAATATAATTTATTTTAAAGTTTCTCTGAAAATGTCAGTTTTAGAAAAAGGGGTTGTAAGCTCAATCATCCAGATAGATAACAACAATAAAGGTTAAATTGTGACATCTGGACCAGTTTTTTTTTTTTTAAGTGAGAATGTTTTGTCCCCATCCAGATGACTTCCTCAGTCTACGGTAGATCTGGTTGGCAGGCCATAGACTGTGGAAGTCCTTTGGATGGGGGACAAAATATTTCTCACTTAAGGAAAATGGTGCAGATGACATGATTTAACCTTTTTTGTTGTCAGTTTTAGAAGTTTGCTCAAGTCTCAACAGATTATATTTGTCTTCTCTATTCAAACTTGAGAGTAAAACATGTACCGTACTTTCCGGCGTACAAGTCGCATCAGTCCAAAAATGTCTAATAAAGTGTGTGTGTGTGGGGGGGGGGGGGGGGGTAGACTATGCGTCACTGCTGACGCGTCACGTTTGTTACACGTCACCGCTGACCAGCCGGAAATGTGGGCTGGTGTTATGCCAAAAATTGATTGGCTGGGCACGGGAGGACTTTACCAAGAATTTAACAAGAGTAACACTTTAAAACAATTATTTGTTTGCTCCACATTAAAGTAAAGGTGTGTCAGTTGTACTTTTCCTTAATAAATACACTTTAATCGTCAAATCAGCTGCATTTGGCCTGGGCGGCGTGGCGAAATGCAGCTGATTTGACATTTGCTCCAGGAGTTCCGGAACGAGATGGAGATGGCTTGGTACGGCAAGCCAAGTGTCTCATTAATAGCCACTTTTACCTATTAATGAGACATCTAAAAAAGTTAAATCTGGTCCTCTGGACGTTCAAAAAACAAAACAAAGCAAAACAACAACAACACAAAAAAAGTAGAATGTCTACATTTTGTTGTTGTTGTTGTTTTGCTTTGTTTTGTTTTTTGAATGTCCAGAGGCCCAGATTTAACTTTTTTGGATTTTTCTACCTGAATTATTGAGCATGCATCAGGATATTAATGAGACACTTGGCTTGCCATATTACTTGAGTGCCCTCTAGTGGTTGAAAATGGAAGTGTTCAGTATTTTACATGTCAGAATAAATGAAATCATCAGATCTCAGCCCATAAAAAGGAAAAAAAAAACATATGAGTTGCTTCGGCGTATAATTCGCAGAACTTGCAAAATTATGCAAAAAGGTGCGGCTTATATTCCGGAAAATACGGTAATCACAAAAGACTTTTAGAAGTTCCTAAACAAAACTTATTGAAAACATATATGAACACACATTGTGGTGTTCAACTGCAATACATGCAGTTTTCTCTGCAAACTGTTTGCACAAATTTCAAATAAAAAAAAATGCAAATGCCTTTAGCCAGAGCAGCAGGTAATTTTCTAATATATACTTACCTCTTATTGGTAACCTAGATTCTAATCTTCTAGATTGTGTTTATGTCCAACCCTTTTGACAATCTCAATTAGCCTTTAACCTGCTCCTCTGATATCTTGTGGCACTCAACGTTAGCTGGTCAGACAGTGCAAAGGGATGAAAGCTGTGCAGGAATCACTATTATTAATGTAGCAATAGACAGGACATTAAGAGAGGTAAACTAGAGAGAATTGGCATGAGAGAGAGTTGGCATTAGTTTAACGTGCACACATACAAACACATAAAGGAGGAATCAGGCTGATAAGTTTGACAGGCCTGTAATTATCAGGCACAAAGGTTGGAAGCGGTGAATACACTTCTGCTCAGGAACATCAAGCATTAACACGTCAGGGTCTTTGTTAATGAGCACGTATAGCAAGCCCTCTGTAGCTGCGCTAATAATGAGCTAATCCGCTCGGCCACTCTCCATTCATCCTTGTAAGATTTAACGTTATTTGGGCTTCAGTTGTCCAGCTGGGTGAAATACTTGACATGTTTTATCATTCACTGACACGTTTATTGACAAAAAAGGTTTGTTCCGTTGCTCTAGGTTTCTAATTTAACTTTATACAATAAAATAAATACTGAGTTTGTACAGTAAGACCTGTGATCTCCCTCCGTCCTTCCTGTCAGGCGCTGGAGCAGCACTGCAGAGTCGAGTCTGGTTTCTCTGGGATCCGTGACGTCTACACCGCGACAGTCAGCCACGACAACATGCAGCAGAGCTTCTTCCTCTCAGAGACGCTTAAGTAAGTCCCACGTTCTCGTCGACATACCACCGGCGAGACCGAGCTTATTTTAAAATCTGCTTGCACAATCCACTACCGCCATGAAAGTAATACAGGAGCTGATAGTGAGCGTCTACCTGCTATCTGTTCCTCCCACGAAGCATACCCATGCTTTAAATGAAACACAGACACAATCTCTGCTTCACGGAGGATTCTAATCACACTTTGAATAGGATACTTTTCACCCATGAAAGAAATAGGAACAGCGAGTAGACGTTTCAATTCTACCTGCTTTTATTCTTGGTTTAAATTACACAAACCCAAGTGCCATGCTAGACAAAAGCTGATTTTTTTTAAGTGGGGTGTATCAGGAATTGTTCAGGTCAGCAGTCACAAGGTAGCAGGGATGTCTCACTCCGAGTCACTATCTTTAACACGCTTTTTTTTTTTTAAATGAATAGAGTAATCTTGACTAAAGAAAATCCCTGGTGGTGAATAATTTAGATCATTGTGGTCAATGTCTAATTAAATGCCTGTTGTGAAGACACAAAAAGGCAACTACAAATAAATAAAAAAAACAGGACAAGCTCTCTGTTGTTCTTCGTGGATTATTATGTGGAATATTTCTGTAGAGAAATGTCAGCCAGGTGTCATCCGGATATTGATGTTTATAAAACAAAGTACAGTAGTCCCTCATTTATCGCGGGGGATCTGTACACAGACGCCCTGCGATAAGTGAAAAACCGCGAAGTAGGAATAGTAGCACAAGTAGTAAACTGTAGATTATTTTAGAATTTATATACCAGTATATGTATGTGTTTATTTATATATATATATATATATATACATATATATATATATATATATATATATATATATATATATATATACATATATATATAAAGGCGTCTTAAACACTTCCTACACTCTTTGCAATATTCTAAACAATGTTTCTAAACTGGGCAGCACGGTGGCGCAACTGGTAGAGCTGCTGCCTCTCAGCGAGTAGGTCCCTGGTTCAAATCCCAGTCCAGGGGCTTTTCTGGGTGGAGTTTGCATGTTCTCTCCGTGCATGCGTGGGTTCTCTCCGGGTACTCCGGTTTCCTTCCACAGACCAAAAACATGCATGTTAGGCTGATTGGTAACTCTAAAATTGTCCCTAGGTGTGAGTGAGAGAGTGAATGGTTGTTTGTCTTGTTTGTCTCTATGTGGCCCTGTGATGGACTTGCGACCTGTCCAGGGTGTACCCCGCCCCTCGCACAGTGATTGCTGGACATGGGCACCGGTGACCCCCGTGACCAAAATGGATGAAACGGGTAAAAGATAATGGATGGATTGAAGGATGTTTCTAAACTCTAAATGCTCTAGAAGAGCACAGAATGTCATGATTTCAACCCCCTGCCTCCTTTTTGCCATGGCTGTTCTCCGCTCTCTTGGCCACGCCCACTTTTCCGCAGCAGTACAGAGATCACAGACGAGGAGGGAGGAGGAATTTTCTCCTGCAGTGTGGGCTGCACACAGGTGCAGCAGGTGCTAAATCATTTAAAATAATTAATTTTAAATAAAAATTCCATGCTGATTGCGTTGCTCATCCATCAGTCAGCCAGTAGTGTGTCATGTCCAATCTTATTTTGAAAAACCGCGATAGATCGGGTCTGCAAAAAGCGAACTGCAAAGTAGCGAGGGACTACTGTACTGTGCATTCGTTGAGGCATGCTTCATTTTTTTGTATTTTACTTCCATTGAGCCAAATATTTGGGGAAAATTACAAATGACAACATCTGCAACTATTTTAAGAGCGAATTTATTGCACAAATGTACATGTTCAAAATTCAAGCAACAAGACTCCACACCACCGTCGCTCACGCAACAAATTTGGCCAGATTCTCAGTCCTTCAGGACATGGTAAATCCTAAAAATAATAATAATAAAAATAAGTCTAATGGACTTCTATTCAAGTTCAAGGATCTCTGGCCTTGTTCAATGACCTCACCTTGTCTAGGTCAGTGAGGTTCTGTAGAGCTATGCCAGCAGTTTTGCTGCACATCCTGACAATCCCTGAGAGTTTGTTCCTGTTTTTGCGTGTCAAAAGTCCAAACCAACAGATGAAAGTGAAAGTTAAAAGAGATTCAATTTTCTGTAGTTCAAGATGTTACACTTCCCATCTGGGAGGCTCCCTCAGTTCCACACTGGGGACTGGAGTGTCAGGCGTTTTAAACTGCACGAGAAGCTCAGTTATGTAATCCAGATTCACGTACAGATTAAACTACACGTCCCTCACGGTGGAATCGTTAGGTTATGTGTTCGCCTGGATCTTAGATGTTTGGTCACATGCAGGAAAGAGTGAATTGGAGTGAAACTGACTGGAAATCAGGCCTAATGCTGCATTTTAGTTTTTGGAAAGCTGAAACCTGAGACCATCTTCTCTGCTTGAACTTGTTTTTTCTTGTTTGACATGAATGTCTTTTTTTACTATCCCCACCCCCTGGTCGTTAAGAGTGTCCCTTATTCTTGAGGTGTAGGTAGACCGCTGAGGCTAGTCCTGAAGAGCTAGCGCTCCAGTGTTGAGCCATGAGTCTGTGGAGATGTTTAGTTTCTTCAGTCTAGAGGTCTGAACAGTCCTCACTGCACTGAACTGCAGACACCACAACGCTCTGTTTGGGTTTGTGGGTTCTGTCCTTAAAATGGACCAGCTTTTATCTGAAAGTCCTGCTAGGCTCATTTCAAACCTAACAGAACTCAGAGAGAGGCTGGGGGTGAAAATCCAGCCAATACTTGAAACAGGCTCTGAAAAAATTAATGAACTGCATCTCAAAATTGTTGAAATGGTTAATCAGGTACAAAGAAATAAAAATCATAAAAATGCTGCCAAAGTACAAAGAAGGCGACAGTGGGAAGGAAAAACTCCCTCATGAGGAAGAAACCTTTAGCAGAACCAGGCTCAGGACAAGCGAACATCTGCTTTGACCGGCTGGGTTTGAGAGGAACAGATACACAATGGCAGGTCGAGAATCACATGTTAATATATAAATAATATCATTGAGAACTATTCAGTTGTAACAGTTCATTTTAAGCAATGAGTTCAGTTTGCCCTCAAGTAGTCTAAGCCTATAGCAGCATAACAAGCCAACCCTAACAAAAGGATTTATCAAAAAAGGAAAGTCTTAAGTCCAGTCTTAAAACTGGACAATGTGTCAGCCTCATGGACAGAAACTGGAAGTTGGTTCCACAAGAGAGGAGCCTGATAAGTGAAAGATCTGCCTCCCATTCTGCTTTTGGAAACTCTAGGAACCACAAGTAAACCTGCAGTCTGAGAGCGAAGTGCTCTCTTAGGAAATTATGCAACAATAAGATCTGTAATATACAATGGAGCTAGGTTGTTGAGGGCTTTGTAGGTTAGAAGTGATATTTTGAATTCTATTATGAATCTGACGGAGTCAGTGGAGAGAAGCTAAAACTGGAGAGATATGATCTCTCCCACTAACTCCAGTTAAGACTCTGGCAGCAGCATTCTGGATTAACTGAAGACATTTTAAATGTGTTTTTATATCATATTATAGCTCATATTTTTGTGATAACAGATGTTTTTTCTCGTTCCTATAGATATCTGTACCTGCTCTTCTCTGACGATGACTTACTCCCATTTGAAGACTGGGTCTTTAACACAGAAGCCCACCCGCTGCCCGTCATCCGTAAGAGTTGCCTGCAGGATGACGCAACAGAAGAAAAGACGGTTTCTGATTAATGCTGACCACCACCTAACAGCAGAGACTGTTCCCAACACAAATGAAATGTGAACAGACTCAGATAAAGATTGCAAACAGCAGGTCAGTGCAGGTTCAGTCCTTTCAGGAGTGTGTTATTGACTCGATTCCTTTCCAGTAAAGGATGTTGTTGTTTTATGCTGTGATTGTATATCCTTTCGCCAGGGATACTTCCTGCTGGCACTTGTTTTTTTTTTTTGTGGACAATCAAGACAAACATGACTTTCATGAGAAGATACCTTTTTTTTTTTTCCCTTCTTTCCTCTGTGAGGAAACCAGTATAACTTACAAACCCAAATGTATGGGAGGAGGTTTGAACTATCGGCCATATTTTCAAAAAGAGTGAAAAAAAAAAGTAGAAAACCGCTTCAGTTCTACTCTTTCCTTTAACCTTTGATTACTTTAAATCCTCTAGTTTCTGGTTTTCTTTTGTGAATACGCTCTTCGGCCAAAGGTTTCCTTGTATTTCTATTTTCCTCTTTTAGCATAGTGTTTCTGGTGTAATTTGAGGAAAGGCTGAAATATACAACGAAAATTAAATATTGTACAGCCAAAAGTGAAATGTGACTCTTAAATCCACCTCTGAACTATTTTGATGTCATGTTTCTCTCTGAAACAAGTTTGAATGGATTTTTCTAAAGGTCAGAGATGTCAGGAACGTGGCTCTGTCTTATGCATCCAGGGACCATTCAAAAATAAAAATAGTCGGTTTATGGATCTTTATGCTTGGACAATTTTTGTCGAGTCCTCTCAGCCTTTCAAATGGGAGTGCTCTCCGTTGTGTCTCTGTAAAACAGGCATAGCAGGAAACAAAGGTGTGTTCGATGGTTTCTGTTGGGAGCTTTTCCGCCTCACTCTGCCTTCACGTGTTGCAGACTGACTGCAGAGACGAGCTTTTAATTTTAATCACTTTCTTTTAATCGATGCTCTTCGGGAACAGTTGTGGAGTGAATGTGATGTATATACAAATGGAGCGAGTGACACCTGTACGAGTTTGTCTTGACTTCTTTTTTGTGTCTCTTCTTTTTTTTCTAAAATTTCAGTGGCTTTTTTTCTTTCTTGGTTCTCTTGATTTGCTTCCCTCAGGTGTTTCAGTTAAGAAAAAAAGAAAAGAAAAATCGAATAATTTTCAGTTTTAAATCTAATTATTTGCTGATATTAATTATTCTTACTGTTTGTTTTAACTTTAATTGTTGAATATTTTCAAATACTGATTAAAAAAAATGTGCAGCTTTGTACATTTAAAAAAAAATGGTTGTCTTGTCGTTATTATTGGCCTCGTTTACTTAGAAAGGTTAATTTACAGGATGGTCTTTAACATTAAGTTAAAAGATGACTTCAGAGTCATCAGATAACATCACATGAAAATAACCTGTATTTAGACGTTCTTCATCCAGCAGCTCTTGGATTCAACTCCATGATCTACAAACTACACCTCCAGGTTTGTGCATCATTTTTTCAAAGGTTAATTTGTTGTGGCATTCATCTTAAATCAATTGTAGATGCACATCATGTGATTACTTTCCGACAATTCCACTGAATTGTAGCTCATAAGATGTTTTGTTTTAGCTCAACTTTTATTCAACAGGTGATCATTAAGTAAAAATAATGCTGCTATTGTGCTATTAATATATACAACACAGGGCTTTAATGCTGCTACTCTTCATCCAATGTAACAGCTGCACTTTTGTCAATTTAACCAAATATACTGTTCAAAAAAACTCAACACTTATTTGTAATTTACACAGCTGCAATCTGTTGACAGATATTAAACATTTTTGCTGCCATCATATGGCCTCAAAACTACAATCCTGCTCTGAGCAGCGGTTCCAACCGCATGTCTGCACAGACGTGATGAATCTTTTAATAAACAAAATTAATAATTACCTTATCAGGATCCACGTCAGCGCAATCCCCAAGACTCAGACCATGTTGGGCGTCAAATGTAACTCAGCCTTTATTCAACAGGTGATCATTATGTAAAGAAATAGATGACACTGGGTCTCTGATTGACAGCAAAAATCAGGGTTTAGTGAAGAGCACAAATGGTGGCTACTCAGTTTCCTGAAGCAAAATCCCAAACCCTGTCAAAAGTATACAGATCATCCTGCATCATCCCACATCTTGTTTCCCCTGCTTGATACAAACCATATTAGGGAAATGTTCTTCTCAGCTTGGAATACACAAGCCTTGCACTTTCTGCAAACACGTATCTTACTTTCCATGTAGGCTTACCAAAAATGGGTCTTATTGCTAACTTCAGCTGAAACGTTCCTCCATATTTGGTGGTGATAAGAACTTTGCATGCAGCTCGTATCTTTGTGGGGAACAGAAACACATTCCACTGCCTAAGAAAACAAACTAATAATAATCATCTACTTCGGTTTAACTAACAGTTGACTGTAGCAGTTGGTGTCAAAGTGGTACAAACAGCTCTTGAGCGATCAGTCGGTGCTTTGCGAACAAGTTGGGGATGACTCTCAGCTACATTCACAGTAGATTCTGTCTCACCATCTGCAAAAGTGACTGAATTATAAGCATTTACAAGTTTTAGTCATTCAACCTTTGTTTATACAGGTTAGTCTCATTGAGCCTTGGGGACTCATTTACAAGAGAGACCTGTTTTTAATAAAAAATTATAACAACAATAGTAGACATCAATGACAACAGTAGATGATCATAAAAGAAGGCATATAAATTGAAAAAAATGGAAGAAATTTGAATTTGAAAAATGAAACTAAACCAGGTGCATTGTAAAGTGGTGTAAAATACTAAAAACAGGAACATGTTTGCATTGGTTTTTGCCAGGAACTTAGCAGATGTTTGAAGCCACTTAGAGAGGTCAAGGTCGAGACTTTCAGATATTTTTGCAAGATATTCCAGGAAACGGGAGCAGAGTAGGAGAAGCCCCCAGTTCTCATTGAGGGAACACTGCATGTAATAATGTCCTGAGAGCGCACGCTGTAGCTGCACTCACGCAGTGACATGTAGGAGGAGATGTATGAAGACAGCAGACCAAGAAGTGATTTAAAGATGAAAATGTACCAGTGAGAGAGTCTACATGAAGTTAATGATGACCAGTTAACCAGTGAATACAGGGTGCAGTGGTGGGTTTGATAGTTACAGCCAGTTATGAATCTTAGCGCACCATGATGCATCCAACATCTGCAAGGTGCTTGTAGGGGCGTTCATGTAAATAATGTCACCGTAGCCAATAGAGAAAAGGAAAGTCACAGTTACAAGGTGTTCCCTAGCATTCAGAGTTAGACAGGATCTATTTCTGAAAAAGAAACCTAGTTTTACTTTCGGTTTCTTTACCAAGTTTTTGGAATGGGGCTTAAAAAGAGAGATGTGAATCGACCAAGATACCCAAATATTTGTAACAACCAACAAACTCAAAAGGAACACCATTCAGGTGTTCACAACAGGTCTCTCTTGGAAATGAGTCTTTGAGGCTCAATGGGAACTAACATCTATAAATAAAGGTCTAATAATAATAATAATTCAAAGTTAAAATAGAAGGAAAGACTGCTGGAACCAACTTCCTGTTTGGTTGACCAACATCCCGTAGGTTTCGTCAGCATTTAGCACAAGTTTGAGACTGAACAAATCAGCCTGGATGATGTCAAAAGCCGATTGCAAAAGCTGGAAAACGTTAGCAACTGTTTTAGCTCGATAGTAAACAACTGTATCGTCAGCATAGAAATATAAGGATGCATCAGGAATGATCTGACCTATGAACAGTAGATTGTAAAAAGGGTGACTAAGACTGAACCAAATTACAGTTAGTTTGTTTAACTATGGTGGCCATCTTAAATTAGTTCCATCTAATTATTATTATTATTATGAGACCTTTATTTATACAGGTTAGTTCCCATTGAGCCTTAAAGACTCATTTACAAGAGAGGTCGGATACATACAACATACAAAGTACAAGCAGATGAGAAAATGAGAACACGAGGATAGAGGAAGCCAAAAAAAAAATGTCTCACACCATTTTCTGTCTGGGAAACAATGTAAAAGATGCAAAAAAAAGACCTTGCAACATGAAGCATACAATGACATCCTAATACATTTATGCATAGAGGTCAACAAAGGCGGTGAGTTATCTTTAGACACTCCAGAAAGTTCCAATGTTCTGATAAGATGGTATAATGTCTATCAGCATCATGGTTCTGATAAGGCAACAGATAATAGTTACTTTGCAAAAGTTTCATTAAAACCCTTCCAGTAGTTAATGGGATACGCAGACAAAGGAGAAGTGGGGCAAAAATGTTCATCAGCAAATAACAATAAGTGTCTGTTAGCATGCACAGAATGCAGTAAATACTTTGGAGTCAGCAGCAGCAGCAGTCTCCAGAGCTGTTGATGTTTTCACTGGAAGTTTACTTCGTTTTACCCCTCCAGTCCAAGAGATTATTTAGAAGAAATTGTTGCTGACCCTAAAAACACCACAGAAGTTATAAATTAAATCAATGTTTGTTTTTTCCCCACAACACCCTGAGTTAAAAAAAAAAGCCTTTTTAGTGGATTACAGTGAGCACGCTAGCAGTTCCAGACTCTTTTTGGACATTTCTTTTTAATAAGTAATGATCTGGATGCTTGATAATCATGAAGGCTGATGGGAACCATGTACTACTTTAGCTGGTGCTATTATCCAGTTTTTTTGATTACCATATTAATATTATATATTGTATAAAGTGACACTCTTTAATCAAGCTATAATGCCATCTAATATTCACATTCAATTATAGATTTTAATTAAATTACTAATAGTTGTACTAGAAGCTGAGTCGTGACATAGTGAGTATTTGCAGCCACATTGGAGGAAAAAAACAACTTAGCAGTTTGTTTTTTGGCAGAACTGGCAATAAACTTGTGTGTTTTCCGTACATACTGAACAGATGTATCAGCTCACAGACAGAGCGCTGTGTAGCTCCAGTTTGGCCTTGTCAGAACATCCTGCAGTCCTCTCTGGCTGCCAACACATGAAGGTCTTCCAGGCAGCCCTCATCTGCTGCCCCAACACCTTGTTAGTGTCCAGAAGGGACTGCAACTGCATAATCAGCTCCAAATGGTGCTAAAAATAACACATTCAGCTCAGGGGTCAGAGGCAGGAGGGCTGAACATCAGCAGGTAGACAACACACACACACACACACATGTCAGACTGGAGCATTGCTTGGGGACTTTATGCCGGAGGCTCTTTCATGAAGGTCACAACAGAGATTTCATAACAAGAAAACAACTTTTCACAAAAACTGCAAATAAAATAAAGTACGCCACTTGCATCCTTTGATGTTTTTTTTTTTTTTTCTAAGGGCAGAATTCATCCCAGTTTTACAGTA